AAAAAAAAGTCAAAACTAGAATTTAAAGCTGAGAATGCTGAAGGTCTGCTGTATTCTTGTTAGTTTCTCTAGGTTTAAAAAAAAATTTTTTTTAAAATGTTTACTTATTTTTGAGACAGAGAGAGACAGAGCATGAATGGGGGAGGGTCAGAGAGAGGGAGACACAGAATGTGAAACAGGCTCCAGGCTCTGAGCTGTCAGCACAGAGCCCGATGTGGGGCTCGAACTCACGGACCGTGAGATCATGACCTGAGCCGAAGTCGGCCACTTAACCGACTGAGCCACCCAGGCGCCCCAAGGTTTTTAAAAACTTTATATCCTGAAAAATTCAAAGACAGACAAAAGCAGAAAGAATAGTAGGATGAACCTCTCCAGCAGTTACTTACATCTATGTCTTAGAAATATTCAGTCATGTGACTCAGTTGTTTTTGCCTTAGTTTCCCCATCTGTAAAATGAGAACTTGGATTTTATAATACTTTTAAACTGGCTTGATGAAGCTCCTCCCTTAGAGACTTTAGGGGTAGTAAAGTACTATATCTTTTTTCAATAGAAAAAACTTATATATTGAGATTTATAATACATTTGAACACAAAGATTTTGTGGCTAAATATTCTGAAAAAAAATCACTGGACTGGACAAATTCCAACACTCTTTTCAGCTCTAAAGTACTGTGATTTTACATATTTGAGATATACTGAAATACAATATAATAAAAACAATTTACTTTTATCTTAAAAAAAGTTTTTTTTTTTAATGTTTATTTATTTTTGGGAGACAGAGAGACAAAGCGGGGGAGGGGCAGAGAGAGAGGGAGATACAGAATCGGAAGCAGGTTCTAGGTTCTGAGCTGTCAGTACAGAGCCTGATGTGGGACTGGAACCCACGAAGTACGGGAACATGACCTAGGCCGAAGTCGGATGCTCAACCAACTGAGCCACCCAGGTCCCCCCCACCCCCCGCTTTTTTTCTGTTTTAGAGAAAAAGTGCGAGCAGGGGAGAGGGGCAGAGGGAGAGACAGAATCTTATTTATTTTAGAGACAGAGAGCATGCATGCAAGCGAGTGGGGGAAAGGGGCAGCAGGAGAGAATCCTAATCCATGCTGAACGTGGAGCCCAATGTGGGGCTCGATTCCATGACCCTGGGATCATGACCTGAGTTGAAATCAAGAGTTGGATGCTCAACTGACTGAGCCACTCAGGTGCCCTCCAAATAATTTACTTTTTACATCAGTAGTTTAAACACTTTTCTGTTTTTTTAAAGTTTATTTATTTATTTTGAGAGAGAGGGAGAGAGCATGTGTGCACACATGTGCATAGGGGAGGGGCAGAGACAGAGAGGGAAGAGAGAATCCCAAGCAGAGCCCAACTCTGGGCTCGATATTATAAACTGTGAGATCAGCACCTGAGCTGAAAAACCAAGAGTCGGATGCTCAACCAACTGAGATACCCAGGCGTCCCTCACCATTTTTCTATTCAGTCCATACTCAGTATGCATAAGTGCATGGATGGGTCAGAGTTGATCCTTTTCCACTGACAGTTGTACAATTTCAGATATTCAGAGAAAAGAGAAAATAACTATTGGGAGTTTGGTTCTCCTGAGAAATATTTTTATGTATCTTGGGATTAGGTGAAGTCTGTTTATTCTAATGAGTTATAAACATCTTTCCTATAAATATAAATTCTAGACTCTCAGAATTACATTCCCAGAGATAATACAGAACATAAGGTGATATTTTTGAGCTCGTCAGTATTTGAGTTGCACAAGTGGAGAGATAAAATGGTAGGGAAAGGGCCAGAAAGGGAATATTCTTAAGTTCACGAGAAGGAATGATGAATTCCTTTCCTTCCACTTTGTTTTGCTGCTCATTTTCTCATTTTTCCTTAAACTGATTCCACTAGAAAAACACTGTTACCTAAGAAGCCAAATGTAGCATAGCAAAAATTGTTTAGTCTCAACAGAGCAGGATATAAAGAAAGAAGCCAGGAAATTACGGTTCAAGAGATGACAACACAGGAAAGGTAAGTTATAGTAAAATGCATAGTTTAATCAATTGATTTTTTATTAAATATGTATTTTCAACTTTACAAAACACTGTAAATAGGGAACTATATGGATGTTACTATTAAAAACATGGAAGTTGGTGCACAGCGAAAAATTAAGGTTTTCTTTCCTTTACTAAATATATTTTTCTGATATTCAAGTGATATATAATTAATTTTCTTTTGTAATTGAGTGTCTTCAGTATTGCTAACAAGCAAGCCTCTCCCCATTCAGCTCACTCTCCCACACTCTGACAGGACTCTTCCACATCTTTCCTCTTTCCTCAAACCCATCGCCATCTTTCCCGTCCGCACTCTTCAATGATCATCTCATTTCCTATTTCACTAGGAAATAAGGAGAAAATTGAAAATAACTTCTATATGCTTCCATTTCTCATATAACTGCATCTAAAGCCATATTCTCTGCATTCATTGCTCTTGACAATCCAAGGACACCGTCTAGCAACTGTCCTTTTTCTCTTCTGTGTCCCCTCTCTCCCTACCGAACCATTCAGATCTGTACACAAATACTATCTCCCATCTTAAAAAACAAACAAACAAACAAACAAGTAAACCCAAAGACCTGCTCTTGACCCTGCATCCTCTTTTTATTTGTAACTTGATTTTCTGTTCCTTTTTTTGCAGCAAAATTGTTTATGCTGTCTCCAATTTTTCTCTTCTCAAGCCCTCTTTAACCCACTCCAGAAAGATTACAGGCTTCCAGCAATCTATCAAAATGCTTGTCAAAGGCACTGGTGGTTTCTGGACAGCAAATCCAAAGGTCAGTTTCCAGTCCTCATCTTCCGTGATCTACTTCCACAGTGTGGGACACAGGCAATTACCCTTTCCTTTTTGAAACACGTCCCACACTTGGTTTTTCAGGACAGTCTTCCCCTTTGGTTCATTCCTTTTCTTTCACAGGTTGTTCCTTTGCTGATTCTTCCCCATCTCCCCAACCTCCAACACTGGAGTGTCCCACCCTTCAGTCTGTGGTTCTTTTCTTTATTTATAGTCACTCCCTTTAGGTCATTTAACCAAATAGCATGGCTTTAACTGCTCTGTATGTGCTGATGACGTCATGATTTCCAAAATTATGTCTTCAGCTCGGGCCTCCCCACTGAACTCTTAGTGTTATGTCCAACTGCCCACATGATGTGCCTGGCTGGATGTTAAATAGGGATCTCAAATCCTATTTGACATGCCTAACATCCAAGCTCCCAACCCCCAACCTGTTTTTCTTAGAGGCTCTGCTATTTCAGTAAGTGGAAAAACCATTTCTCTAGTTACTCAGGCCCTAAACCTTGGACTACTGAAACTGCCTCCTAACCCTTTACCTATTTCTGCCATTCCTCCTGTCGTTGCTTCCCCAAATTGTCTACTCTCTACCTAGCAGCCATAAGTCCGATAATTTTATTCCCTTGCTCTAAACCCTCCAGGAGCTTATTGTCTCACTCAGGTTATAAGTGGCTGACGAGACTCTTCATCACCTGATCCTATCTCCAATCCCCCTACTCCTCATTCTCTCTGTTCTAGACATACTGGTCTCCTGGCAGTTCCTGGGACACGACAAACACACTCCTCCCTCAAGACCTTTGTCCCTGTTCCTCTAACTCAAATGCTCTTTCCCCAAATGTCTGCATGGCGTGCTTTCCACCTCCTTTAGGTCTCTGCTCAAATATCAGCTTTGCCAGGGAGGACTTTCTTGACTATACTCTAAAACAGCAACGTTTCTCCCCACCATGCCTTCCTACCCTGCATTATTTTTCTCCAAAACCCTCATTGCTCTTTTTAAATTATACGTGTATTTATTAGCTCGTTATCTGTTTTCCTCTTAGAATACATGCTCCAAGAGGTCAGGGACTTGGTCAATTTTTTTTCACTGCTGTTTCTCTAGTGTCTAGAATAGGGCCTAGCACATGGTAAGGCACTTAAGAGGTATCTGTTGAAGAAATGAGTAAGTCTGCGGGGGTCAAATTAAAACATTTAATTTGTATAGTTTCACCCAAAACTTGAAGATGATAAAAGACCTATAGCTTAAATAATTTTAGACTGTGGGGAGCTTGTTTGGTAAAAGGTAATAGTAACTTCTATGTGGGTCAGGTCAGTCTCCTAGAAAAAGAACAGTCCCTTCCCTAGTAAATATTATGAAATATGAATGCAAAAATTTAAACAAACAAAAAGAAACCACTTTTATACTTTCAGATAAATAATTCATTTACAAAGCTTCAACTTACGTTTTAAAACATGGGTCTCCAGACATCAGCTGCATACTGATCAAAACCTGAATATTAGGAAAAGAAATGTGATTATAAAAGTTTCCTTGAGAGGAGAAGCCACATTCCGCTAATCTATGCATCCACCACAGAATCTAGGCCAATATTTTCTGTTTAGAAAGTATTAAATAAAATGATAGCTTAATTGGGTTACATCTAGTATTAAATTGCTGCTTTATACAGACACAGATTTAAAACCACTTTTTAACATTCAAAACTCTGTAACTGCAAAAATCAGAGTGGAAAAGATGGAAACAAAAAGCAAGTGCTGCCCTCATAACAGTTCTGTGGGTGTGTGCTGTGCTGGTCTAGTTTATCTGTCTTTCCTCCCCAATTCCTGTGGTGCCCAAGTGTCTGGAATGTTTTTCTCCAACTTGCCATGTTGTTGCCTCATGGGCTGCCTGAAGTGGCTTGCAAGAGCACAATGCTTCTGGCCCGTGTTCCAGCTTTAGATCAGAATTTAAACCTTTGCTAATGCTTTCTGAAATGCTGCTGTTCTCTAGTTGTGACTGTCTTTTAAGACTCAACCACAGCGGGCGGGGGGGGGGGGGGGGGGGGGGGGAGGAGGCGCCTGGATGGCTCAGTTGGTTAAGTGTTGGACTCTTAATTTCAGCTCAGGTCATGATCTTGTGGTTGTGGTGAGATGGAGCCCCGAGTCAGTCTCTGTGCAGAGTGTGGAGCCTGATTGGGATTCATTCATTCTCTCTCTCTCTCCCTCTGCTCCTCCCCCGGACTCACTGGAGCTCTTTTTCAAAATAAATAAATAAACATTAAAAAAAAAAAAAAAAGACTCAGCCATAGGACCTTGTTTCCTTCTTCTGGGAGTAATAATGATAACGGTAGTAACAACAACAACATTAACAGCAATCATGATTTGAGAATTAATTATGTGCCAGGCATAAGCTGTGTTTTATAATGCAAGATTTCACTGGATCTTCAACACTCCTATGAGAGATGGATACTTTCATTTTAAGTTCAGGAGATATATTAGTATTTTCAAGATCAGGTAGCTAATAAAGGGCAGAGCTGAGATCTGAAGCTAGGACTGCACAATACTAAAACCCACGGTCTTTACGAAGAGGAAGAGATATAGTGGCTGACATGTATCCTAATATAACCAACCTCATTTCTTTCTTATTTCTTCACCCCAGTGCCTCCACTGCTGTTCTTTTCCCCTTTGAGCACTACACTTACTAAATGTGTGCGTCTGGGCCTGCTGCGATGGTAGACTTATCCCCTCCACCATAGTCTGGTTTCTAACTCCGTCAAAACAGCACTCTTGAGTATCTTTAATGTCTGAGGAGGGAGGGAGATGGCACATGCAGCTCTTAAGAAATTGTGTGGGGAAGCAGAACAGAGAGAGTAGGATAGTGGTTGGAGGAGGTGAGAAGCGGTTTTTGTTTTAAACACAGCAGATACTAGAGCTGTTTCTCCGTATGTTAATGAGGATGATTCACTAGAGATAGAGAACGTCAGGAGAAGGGATAGTCCAAGTGGCACCGCTCTGGATTAGGCAAGCTCTGGATTCTTCAACCCAAGGGAAGCGATTGACTTCTGACAGGGAGAGGGGCATTTCCTTCATTGTAACCAGGGCAAAAAGGATAACAGGGCTGGACAGACAGGAAGAATCATAAATTTGGCAATGGGAATATGAGGGAATTTGATTTAATGGCTTCTGTTTTCTCAATAAAGGATAAAGAAAGACCATCAGTTGAGAGTAAGAGTGGTGCATAGAGATCCAAGGAGAAAGAAGGTATACAATAGAGTCTCTAGAAAAATGGGAAAGGATGCTTTCAAAGGAAGTACAGTTGCTTGATGTCAGGGAGCAAGACTGAAGGAATGGCAGCTGGATGGTTGTATGATGTCCCCCCCCCCCCCCCCCAGCAACATTCGGCAACTAGGATGCAAGTCCAGAGAGGACAGTTGAGTCTGACTGGGGTCGGGGATTACTCAGGGGAGAGCAATGAGGGAGACAGGGGCAAAGGAGCGAGGAATATTTTTGAGCATAGGATAATCAGGGATCCCAGAATCGAAGCTGGATAAAGAGGGAAGTGGAAACAAGTGGAGGCTGGTAGACAGTGAGAGCGGTCAGGTTAAGGATAGCCAAGTGAACAGTAGACCAAGAGGACTGGAAACATAACAGATGGGGGCAGGGGATACTTGGAACTAAAATTCTGGAGGTGGTGGGATTTCTAGAGGTAAGTCTAGACTGTGACCATGGGGTGTGGAATGGAGGTGAAGAAAAGGAAAAGGTTCCTGGAGAAGGGTAGTTTGAGGAAAGGAGAGGTCCTAGGTACATGAAAGATTAGCTAGAGGGAGAGAATGCACAGAAAAGACAGTCTGCAGGGACAGATCACCCACCAGATGGTGGAGCCATCAAAAAATGATGACAGAAGGGATGGAAAGAAAAACTGTCAGCCAGGAGCTAAGTCATCATAAGTAGGAGAGAGAAGGTAACTAGGTGACCAGGAGATGACAGCTCAGGCAGGGAGACAGTGTGTGTGATACAGAGTGGTATGATCTATAAAAGAGTAATTTCTTTGTAGGGCCAAGTGGGAGAAATGGTGTGAAAGGATCAATGGAGAGCCAAAAGGAAACTACTCCAGGAGCTGGCCCTAAGGAATAGCAGGGGATGGAATTTAAAATTTCCCAGAACACGTGGGTGGCTCAATCGGTTAAGTGTGGGACTCGATTTTGGCTCAGGTCATGATCTCACGGTTCAGTTCGTGAGATCAAACCCCATGTTGGGCTCCACACCCAGTGTTTCTCTCTTAAGATTCTCTCTCTTGGGGTGCCTGGGTGGCTCAGTAGGTTAAGAGCCTGACTCTTGATTTTGGCTTAGGTCATGATCTCATGATTTGTGAGATCAAGTCTTGCTTCAGGCTCTGTGCTGAAAGTGTGGAGTCTGCTTGGGATTCTCTCTCTCCCTCTCTCTGCCCTTCCCCTGCTCATGCTCTCTCTCTCCCTCTATAGATAAATAAACATTAAAAAAAAAAAAAGATTCTCTCTTTTCCTCTGCTTTTCCCCTGCTTGAGTGCATGCGTGTACATGTGCCTTCCATCTCTTTCTTAAAAAAAAAAAATAAAGAAAAAAAAGAAAGTCATTTCAGTTCCTAATGAAAACACTATTCAGAGAAGGATTATCTTTCTTCTTACACTGCAAATATGAAGAAACTTAGCGGCTTGTTCAGCTTGTTTGGGATCAGTCTAAGAAGGAATAGGGCAGCCTGTTTCTTCGGAGTCTGATGCTTAGACAGCATGGCAACATGAAAAGACCACTGACTACATAATGGTAGAGATGCATTCTGGTCTCTGCTCTGCTACTGATGACTGATGACTTTAGTGAGACACTTAACCTTCTAAGTCTCAGCTTCTTCATCTATAAAATGGAGAGAATCTATCCCCATCTGAAGAACACTGTTTACCTTACATGGGTATATGCAAGTACTCTGAAATTTTTTTCAGTTATATTTATTGAAAACAAAGTTTGAAAAGTGTAGGTATAGGGTAATTCTTTGCTCCACTAACTTCCGACCATACAGTTTTTACTAGGAATTATTTTCCTTTCTTATCATTAGATAACTTACCATCAAGGGGTAAACTAACTAAAATACAGCAAAAGGTCTGTCCGGTGAGGCTTAGTAGGTACAAGACACTTTACAAACATATTCAGAACTGGTCTCATTTAATACTCCCACCAACCGTATGTGTTCTCTGTGGCCACCACACTATGGGGCTGCTGATGCTACTTGGAAACAACATCGCAGATGCCCAAAGTGAGTTCCACCTGTCACTTTACTAGTTACCAGAGAACCCAGTGACTTCTATGTGCCCACCATAGCTGCTTGGGAAGTCACTTTTCGGGAGTCATACATGTTTTAAGGTATTCATTCATCATGCTCCTTACTGTCAATGAGCCTGATGCTGTAGCAGTTGTATGTACTATTCCCTGAATGTTCACAGCCTCAGAAACACCTTAGGATCATGAAGGTGAACACTTGTTACTTTTTGCTGCTTCTGTGATATGGGTAGCCTTTTTCCCTTGAAGGTGAGTATTTCAGTGTGGTGTGGTCAGCTTATGATCTCAGTACTGATTCCCATCTTGCCCTTGACTGTGTATACCTATGCTTATTCAAAGGCAGAGATTCTCATTTGTTGACATGTAAATCTCAAAACATGCTTACTTTAAGAATGGAATTATCCTGTCTTGTATTTTTGGTATCATAGCCTTCCAGTAAACAGCGACGAGTGGTATTTCCTGATCCAGCAAACTCTGCCAGGTTTAGATCTGCAAAGCCCAGCTATGAAAAGAAAGGGAATTATATTAATAGAATATCTACTAGGCTTCTATCATATTCTCCTTAAAATAAACATTCAACCCATGCTCTAGACAAGTTTTCTCAAACAACGGTCATTTGCAAGTGTGGCCATCTTAACAATATCTGCCCCATTATTTGCTTAATGTGTATCTTAAGATTGGCTCACCTTTTTGTTAAAATATATCACCTTTTCAATTCTTAAGCAATATGATCTCTGAAATCACAGACTTGATGCACTAAATATATATTTTTTCCTGTACACACTGAAATATATAACTGTTGAAGTAAAAATAATGTTTATCAAACAATTAAAATCATTCCAAGTAGCAGCAGTACTCATCCAACACTGTGGGAAACGGCAGCAGACCAATCATGCATGATCATCTGCATATTCATATAGAAAACTGATCAGACTTTCTTCTCCCCATTCTGGTTCTGGCTCCTTTCCCAGTTAATCACTGGTGACTGCAGATAGTGGCAGGTTATTAAATTCTTACTTTAAGTGCAAGAAGTAGAATGATTTAAATGTATCAGACATTTTCTTTGGTATAAGCCCCTTCTCCTTCACCACCTTTCACATTGCCTTGCTGATCTCTCTTTACCTTTCTTTTCCCCTTCCCCAAAGCTGCACCCCACAACAACGCTCTATGCTGCTATCCAGAAGTTCAGCTGAAAGCTGTTCCTCCCTCTCATTATGACCCAGGTTCTTCTCCATTTTCTGAAGTTACCAATGATTGTCCTGCACTCTTCCCTCTGATGTTGTTCAACTTCTATTTCCCGTTTCCAAGTAAGTGAAATGCTTACCCCTTTTTTTTTTTTACAAACTAAGTCTGTTCTACATGACTAAATGTATATGGAATCTTTTATTAAAAACAACAAAAAATGTTTTGAATTTGTAATTAAGCACATCTCCCTGAATACCTAATGAAGAGTATTAGCCATTTCAAGCACTGCTATGATTTTAAGCTGCCTGTTTTAATATTTAAAAACACATACTGGACACATATGAATGGCATTCAAGATGAAGATTTTAACTACAGGCTGGAGCATTAATTTAGTAGCTTTTACTAATTTTTTTAAAATGTTTATTTATTTTTGAGAGTGAGACAAAGAGACAGAGCATGAGCTGAGAAGGGGCAGAGAGAGAGGAAGACCCAGATTTCGAAGCAGGCTCCAGGTTCTGAGCTGTCAGCACAGAGCCCAATAAGGAGCTCAAACCCATGAACCGTGAAATCATGACCTGAGCCAGAGTCGGACGCTTAGCCGACTGAGCCACCCAGGTGCCCCTAGTAGCTTTTAACTGGTACAGAAAGAATGAAGAGTAAGAACTTTGAGACCAATTAAAGGGCCACAATTTCCCAATGCAGTAAGTCAGAACACATCAGGCCACAGGTGACATCTACTTAATTTTCACGTGGCTACTCCGGCCTTAGGGGAGTACCTTTTAGGGGTTCAGAAGAATAGCCTGGATGCATCCAGGGCAAAGCCACATCCAAATGAGCATGTGAAGATTCACGTGGCTATTTGATTGCACATCATCCAAAGGCTCTATTTCATACATTATCCTTTTTCTTTAAACCTCCAGCACCTCCTTTCCATCCAAACTCTGCTGATGCCTTACTTTTTAATTCACTCAGAAGATAAAAGCAATCAAAAAAGTGCTTAACTTCCACAAGCTCTTACTGCCAGCCACATCTACTCACCTGCCTGCAGCTAGGCCTGCTTATTTTAAGTGAACTGGCTGTGCTCCGATCTGAGGCCACCCACTGTCCTCCGGCCTACTCAAGTTCACTGCTTCAGGAATTCCTCCCTCTCTTCTGCATTCTCAAGTTTCCCTTCTCTACTGAACCATTCCCATTCCACCACGTGGACCCGCTGGAGTTTTTGCCATCTGAATGAACAAAAGAAAACCTCATCTCACATCTCTGTCCAGTCTGTTGGACTATTTTTCTGCTCCCTTTTATAGCAAAGCTCCTTGAAAGAGTCGTCTATGTTGACTGTCTCTGGTCCCTTCATCCTTGGCCACTACCTTGTCAGCTTCACTTCCCTGCTTTCTTATTTATTTGTATTTATCTTATTTATTTCTTATTTCTTCTGGACACAATGTCCTTTTACTTGCAAATGCCAAGTCCACCTCAAGGCCTTTAACACTAACTGTTCTTTTGCCTGAAACATTCTTAGATCTTGTAGCTTTCTTCCTCACTCCATTCAGGTCTACGTTCAAATGTCATCTAAGGGGCTTTCCATGACCATTCTAAATGCCTTGCCTCCTTCCTCCCTCTCTAACCCTGTAGTTGTCTCTCTTTACCCCTTACCTGCCTTGTTCTTCTCTTTAGTAGTTGTTACCATATCACATACATACATATTTCATATTTATTTTGTTTACTGTCCATCCCCTCCAACCTTCCATGAGAATATAAGCTCCATAAAGGCAGGAATTTGGGTCTGTTTTGTTTACTGCTATATCCACAGTACTCAGAATAGTGTCAAGAACAATGCCTGCCATATGGTAGGAGTTAATACATATCTGTTGAACAAATACCAGCCCACTGGCCCACTATCCACTATTAGAATGCTGGTATTATAGTGTCATTATGCATAAATCAAGTAAAAAAAAAAGGTATCTGGTCTGTCATCACTAAGAAAGCATATTAAAAGGTGGGGTATGTCAACGTGATATTTTAGGCTGCAGGTCAACACTTACTGAGCACCTTTTATGTGCTAGGCCCTGTTGGGGACCCCACAAAACAGTGATGAACAGGACAGATAAGGACTGTCTTGAAAGAGCTTACATTCTAGTGAGGCACAAGATAGTCCACATTTCCTTAGGATTGTCTCTGGCTTCACTGAGATAACTGTCTCATTAAAATGGCAAGTGTACATAGACACTAGCTACATCTGTGGTAGATATTACTTCATTTGGCAAACAATTTTGAGCATCTACATTTCAGGTAACACCAGGCATCAGGAATGTAAATCACTCCTATTCTCAAGGAGCTCATGGTTTAGTGAGGGAAGAAAGAAAGAAAACAAATTCTTATAAAAAGTGTAAGTGCTGTGACAGAGGAAGGCACAATTACAAGACAGAAAGGAAAAGAGAATTTCTCAGGGGAAAGGACAACTAAACTGAGTGTTTAATGTTCTAAGTGGTGACAGGACAAGGGAAGGGGGAAGCACATACATGGCAGGGAAAACATCAAGTCACAAGGCAAAGAGGCTAAAAGAGCATGGCACACTCCAGGAATTTTCTGAGCGCAGTATGTCTGAAGCATAAGAATAAGTAAGTGAGTGGGGCACCTTAGTGGCTCAGTTGGACAAGTGTCCGACTCTTGATCTTGGCTCAGGTCATGATCCCAGGTTCATGGGATTGAACCCAGTGTCAGGCTCTGTGCTGATGGCATGGAGCTTGCTTGGGATTCTTTCTTTCTCTCTGCCCCTCCCCCTTCCCTGCTCACACCCACATACTCTCTCTCTCTCTCAAAATAAATAAACTTAAAAAAAAGAAACTCTGGAAAATAATTTTTAAAAAAAGGAGTATATGCATGTACAGACAGATGATTTGTAAACCAAGATGGATCTAAATGTTGGGTTGAAGACTTTTCATTTCGTTTTCCTTTCCAGGCAATAGATAGCTGTTGAAGAATTAAAAGGGCGAGAATGATTGTGTTTGAATTTCAGAATGATCACTCTGGCAGTAATGTAGAGGATGGATAGAGGGAAACATCAGAGGCAGAGAACAAAAGATAGGAGGCCAGTGCAGGTTTTAAATAAGAAATAATGAAGGTATAACCTAAGGCACTGGCCTTGGGAGTGGAAAAAAAGGGATGGTTTTTAAATTAGAAGGGGGAAGTCACAGGATTTGTCAATCACAGCAGATCCTTTTTTTTTTTGCTTACCCACCATTATTCAATGTTCTGATATTCCTTGTTAGCAGAACCCTGATTTTATTCAAGTGTCCACTCTTAGCTCATCTATGTGGAAAAGAAAAGTAACCCAATCCCTAGCTCATTGTTAAACTGTGAGACTAATCACAAGCTAGCCATGGCAATCCATTCCTATTGTCCATGACTGGTTTAGGAGTGGGGATATCATCTAGTTGTGGCTAATGAAAGCTATGGGGGAAATTCTCTGAGGTCCAACTAGGAAAAGTTTTCTCACTCAAAGCCATACATAGAGAAACAGCTGCATTTTGTCATATGTGAACGTGTGGACTAAAACTCGAGCTACCTGGTGACCATGAGAACAGCTAGCCAAGGACAAAGTCATCACACAGAGAATGGAAGAATGAAAAGAGAAAAGTAACATGGGTTCTTGATGATGTTCTTCACTTAGTGGATTAACTAATCCTGAAGCAGCTCTATCTCCTATCTCAACTGTATTTCATACCTACTTGTTTTGTGACATTCAAATCTCTAGGTAAGAAGGGTATTCTGTTGCTTATAGCAAAGAGCATCCTAACTGACACTGCAACCAAGGAGTTTTAAGGAGTTAGGCAGATTTGATGGCTGAAGCTAGTGCCCCATCCTTGGCTCTGATGACTGAACTGATGGAGATACCATCAGAGACTGAAAATAAAAGAGGAGTATGTGGGTTTCTGGTAGTATTACTAATTACTAACTCCTTCTCTTCAGCAAAGAGGTGAGCACACTCATTAGTAATTCCATTTACGTAGTGAAAGTATAAAGGAGATTAGTGAACATGTATATAGAGTGCTAAGAGAGCACAGAGGAGAGGTCCTAAAACCCTGGAGGTGGGGGAGGTGGGATTGGGAATACTTTCCAGGACAGACTGAATTAATAGATCCTATTGCTTAATGGAAACCAGAGATCATCTTCTAGTAGGGAAGCTGAAATGTAAGAATAACATCCCATAATCAGCATTTAGAAAGAGTATGTCTATAATTTATTGTTGGGTCCAGTTGTTCAATCTCCAAGTTGCTTTATTTTATCTATCTATCTATCTATCTATCTATCTATCTATCTATCTATCTGAGAGATCATGAGCTGGGGAGAGGGGCAGATGGAGAGTGAATCCCAAGCAGGCTCCACACTAAGCGTGGGTCTCAGTCCCACAAACCTGGGATCATGACCTGAACCGAAATCAAGAGTCAGATGTTCAACCAACTGAGCAATCCAGGTGTGCCTCCAATTTTTATTTCAATTTGAAATCTATATTTAAAAACAGCCAACTTGAAGAGCAATAAGAAGAGAAAACCATTTGAGGGGCACCTGGGTGACTCAGTCAGTTAAATGTCCAACTCTTGGTAGTGGCTCAGGTCATGATCTTGCAGTTGTGATCTCATGGTCATGAGATTGGGCCCCATGTTGGGCTGTGTGTTGAGTGTGGAGCCTGCTTGGGATTCTCTCTTTCCCTCTCTCTCTGCCCCTACTCTGCTCGTGTGTGCATGCTCTGTGAAAATAAACATTAAAAAAAGAAGAGCAAACCATTTGATTTTTAAGCTTATAAACAGCAAGAGTCATAAGTTCTAAAAGAGTTAAATAACATCCACTTACCTTTGCATAAGCTTTTCCACCTTTTAATTCCTGTCAAAGATAAAAAACACTATAAGGGTATCATATGATTGAAGATATAAAATTAAATATATGTCAAATAATCCTGAAGTAGATATTTACATATTTACATGCTGGAAAATATTGATAGTAAATTTCTGATGACCTTGAATTCAACTATTTGGATGACCATCCCACCCCACCCCCCAAATTACCAGAATTTTATTTTAGAATTTAACTTAAATCTGAAAGAGACAAATGGTAAGAAGACAAACTAATATTTAATCTACCCTGAAGAAGAAATCACTAAAGTGTCATAGACACACTGTAAGAAATTGAATCACCAAAGAAAAGTGAAATTAGTTATCAAAAAAATTACTTGGTAAGCACATTAGTAACACTGTAGATTTTCATAAGAGTTGAAGCCCCCACCCCAGAGATAACCATTATTACCAATTTTTAGGAACAGTCCAAAAGATGTTATGTATTCCCCTTTTATTCAAATATACCATACTACACACACTGTTCTAGACCTTACACACACACACACACACACACACACACCCCATAACATAAATATTGTTCCATGTTCGTATAGAAGCCCTCTTAACTAATGTGACCAAGACTGGCAAAAGTGGAAAGTAACAAAAACCTAATATATAGATACCTTAACATTTTAATTTCAATTTGAAATCTATAACTACACTAATTTGCCAAATCTCTGGATTTAGGACACCACGCATATGTGTGAATTAAATGTAAAACACTTAGAACAAAGCCCTTATACTCTGTATCGTGTTTGCCATTACATGAGGGTGAACCCTCGATATACGAGGGTCAAACTCTCCTCTCCCGACCTACTTTTAAAAATGTGTTTGTTGAACGGAGTTATCTCATCTTTCTTGCATAAATGAGATATAATGCATTATATACCATTTCCATCTTTTTATTATTGAAGTATAGTTGACATACAACATTATATTAGTTTTAGGCACACAACACAGTGACTTGACAATTCTAAACATCACACAATGCTCACAATGGTAAGTGTCATCACCATCTGTCACCATACAGCACTATTATAATATTAGTAACTATATTCCCTTATGCTGTACTTTTCATGTCTGTGACTTATTTTATAATTGGAAGTTTGTACTTCTTAACCACTGATTTCTGCCATCCCTTCATACCCCTCCCTCTGGCAAGCAGGAGTTTGTTCTCTGTACTTATGAGTCTGTTTCTGGGTTTTGATCATTTGTTTTGTGTTTTAGATTCCACCTATAAATGAAATCATATGGTATTTGTCTTTCTCTGACATTTCACTTAGCATAACAATACCCTTTAGGTCCACCCACGTTGTTCTGAATAGCAAGATTTCATTCTTTTTTATACCATTTCCATCCTTGAGGTGGTAAATTTAGGTTCTCTGCTCCTCCCCTTTCTTTTTTTTTTTTTTTTTAAATTTTTTTTTTCAACATTTATTTATTTTTGGGACAGAGAGAGACAGAGCATGAACGGGGGAGGGGCAGAGAGAGAGGGAGACACAGAATCGGAAACAGGCTCCAGGCTCTGAGCCATCAGCCCAGAGCCCGACGCGGGGCTCGAACTCACGGACCGCGAGATCGTGACCTGGCTGAAGTCGGGCGCTTAACCGACTGCGCCACCCAGGCGCCCCTGCTCCTCCCCTTTCAATGGACAGTTGCGTCTTTTGGTGCAGTACCAGCCGCGTCCCTGAGACACGATGGTGAAGGTCAGAGGAAACAGATTTAGCCATACTGGGCACCTGGATATCAGGGCTGCCTTTAACTCCAGCAAAGTAGATTTTGTCACCATCAATGACCCCTTCACTGACCTCAATTACATGATCTACATGTTCCATTATGAGTCCACCCATGGCACATTCAATGGCACAGTCAAATCTGAGAACAGGAAACTTTTCATCAATGGAAAGCCCATCTCCATCTTCCAGGAGTGAGATCCCACCACCAACAAATGGGTTGATGCTGGTGGTGGGTATGTTGTGGAGTCTTCTGGGGTCTTAATCACCATGGAGAAGGCTGGGGCTCACTTGAAGGGTGGGGCCAAAAGGGTCATCATCTCTGCCCCTTTTGCAGATGCCCATATGTTTTTTAATTTTTTTTTTTTTCAACGTTTATTTATTTTTGGGACAGAGAGTACAGAGCATGAACGGGGGAGGGGCAGAGAGAGAGGGAGACACAGAATCGGAAACAGGCTCCAGGCTCTGAGCCATCAGCCCAGAGCCCGACGCGGGGCTCGAACTCACGGACCGCGAGATCGTGACCTGGCTGAAGTCGGACGCTTAACCGACTGCACCACCCAGGCGCCCCATGATGCCCATATGTTTGTGATGGGCATGAACCGTGAGAAGTATGACAACTCCCTCAGGATTGTCAGCAGTGAGTCCTGGACCACTAACTGCTTGGCCTCTCTGGCTAAGGTCATCCCTGACAACTTTGGCATCACGGATGGCCACTCATGATTCTGTGCCATCACTGCCACCCAGAAGACCATGGACAGTCCCCCTTAAAAGCTGTGGTGTGGTGGCCAAAAGGCTGCCCATAACATCATCTGTTCTTCTACTGGCACTGCCAAAGCTGTAGGAAAGGTCACCTCTGAACTGAATGGGAAGCTCACTTGCATGGCCTTCTGTATCCCCACTCCTAACATGTCAGCTGTGGATCTGACCTGCCATCTGGAGAAAGCTACCAAATATGATGAATCAAGAAGGTGGCGAAGCAGGCATCAGAGGGCCCCCTCAAGGGCATCTTGGGCTACACTGAGGACCAGGTTGTCTCCTGTGACTTTAACAGTGACACCCCACTCTTCCACCTTTAATGCTGGGGCTGGCATTGCTCTCAATGACCAGTCTTTCAAACTCATTTCCTGGTATGGCAAATGAATTTGGCTACAGCAACTGGGTGGTGGACGTTATGGCCTTCAAGGAGTTAAGAACCTCCTGAACCAGCAGCCCCGGAAAGAGAAAGAGAGAGATCTTCAGCTGCTGGGGAGTCCTTGTCCCAACTCACTCCCTCACCTGACACTGAGAATTTCCCAACCTCTACAGTATCCACCCTAGACCTCCTGAAGAAGGGGGAACTTGTGGAGCCCTACCTTGTCATGTACCACCAATAAAGTATACCATAGGGCTGCTGGGTGGCTCAGTTGGTTAAGCATCTGACTTTGGCTCAGGTCAGGATCTCACAGTTTGTGAGACTGAGCCTCGCTTTGGGCTCTGTGCTGACAGCTGAGAGCCTTGGAGCCTGCTTCGGATTCTGTGTCTTCCTCTCTCTCTGCCCCTCCATTGCTCATGCTCTGTCTCTCAAAAAACGAATAAATTAAAAAAAAATTTTTTTTAAAGTATACCATATTCAGGCCCCCCCACCCAAAAAAGTGGTGAATTTAAATAATATGAGAAGCAATCTACGGTAAACTCTATTATCATGAATATTTGCTGCCCTTCCCCTTTCCTGTCCCATTGATGTCAGGCATGGCCGTTCCCCTAGATCTACCCCTATTATGAATTCTCAAATTATTCTTCTTTCTTAGGTTATTGTGATATCCCTTAATAGCACCTTGCACTAAATAAAACTTTACCTAGATGATCCCTGTCTCTTCTAGCTAATTCTTTGCTCCCCTCTACAGCCAAACTCCTCAAAAGACTTCTCAATTTGCTGTATCCCACTTAAATTCAATCTATTTCAAATATGTTTTTGTCCTCATCTTCCTTCTGCAATTGCTCTTAATGTTATCAATGATACTCATTTTTGTAAAAGCCAAAGGCTCTGTCTTCATCTTACTTAACCCCTCAACAGCATCTGACAAGATTGGCCTCTCCACTTCCTTTTCTAGAACGTCATTTTTTTTCTCTAACCTTCTGTGGTGCTGCAATGGCCTGGTTTTACTCCTACCTCAATGGCTGCTTCTTCTCACTCTCCTTTGCTGGACCTACTCCTGTTTTAACCTCTGTAGAAAAAATGCTAGTTGTACTCCAATTATCCATTTCCCTGCTCACCAAAGTAATAGAAACCTGCATTTTTAGATGGGTGTCTGGTTACCCAAAATAAAATAATGACAACATTTTCTACCTTCCTTTTGTGCTGTGGCAGTATGATTAAGATCTGGCCAAAAGGATGTAATATGTGATATATAGGAATTCTTGCTCCTCTTCTGCTAACAGTAATTTATACTTCCTCTGAGTATTAGACTGATCTAGGATTTGGTTCAGGGTCTCTTGTCTTCTGTCTATATTATCCCCCTGGGTGAGCCCATTCAGGTCTGTTGCTTTAAATAAAAACCATATGCTGCTAACTCTCATGTCTCTGTCTTTATTCTGACTTCTCCTGAGTACCACATCAGTATCTTCAATTTTTTATTTTTTAAAGTTTATTTATTTTGAGAGAGAGAGCAAGTAAGCATGCATGAACTAGGAAGGGGCGGGGGGGGTGGAGAGAATACCAAGCAGGTTCCATGCTGTCAGCACAGAGCCTGATGCAGGGCTCAATCCCATGAATGATGAGATCATGACCTGAGCTGAAATCAAGAGTTGGACACTCAACTGACTGAGCCACCTAGGTACCCAGACCAGTATCTTTGTAATTTTTTTTTTTTCAACGTTTATTTCTTTTTGGGACAGAGAGAGACAGAGCATGAACGTGAGCGGCTGGGGGGGGGCAGAGAGGAGAGGGAACAGAATCGAAACAGGCTCCAGGCTCTGAGCCATCAGCCCAGAGCCTGTGACGCGGGCTAATCCGACTCACGGACATGAGATCGTGACCTGGCTGAAGTCGGACGCTTAACCGACTGCGCCACCCAGGCGCCCCTCAGACCAGTATCTTTAAATGAGTACTGGACATCCTTGCTTGGAATCTCACAGACACCTCCAATTTAACACGGCCAAAACAGGCCTGCTGATCTCTGCTTATTGGTCCCCCAAATTATTTCACTGTGAGCCTTTACCGTTTTAATAAATAGCACCATTACCTATCTATATGCTCAAAGGTCTAAGTTATCCT